TCTTTTATCTCGCTGACTGGAACCGTTAGCTCAATTCCTTTGATAACCACTTGTAATCCCTTGATACTTTTAAGTTGGTAGGTGTAGTAGTTCATCTTTTTATCGTCGAGGTATTTGACCAGTGATCGATAGGTGTTTTCATCGTTGACTTGTATTTTAGCTTCATATATGCTACCCCTTATTATTGACATAGAATTTGTTTTGGTAGTGAGTTTTTTAACCAATTCCGTACAATTTGCCTGACGCACATAAATAGGTGGTGGCTTTAGTTGCTTGGCCTTAGCTGTTTCGGCGTTTCTTCAGGTAAACTGAGAATCGCGAATCTATTGTTTTTCAGCGCCTCGGTTGGCACAGTGTTTTTTGCTGTTTTAGTTATTATGGGTGCGTTGTTTCTCTTAGTTGCTTGTGAGCTTAGTTTTCGTTTAATTTGCACATAGCGATCGAGCCCAGTCTGTATTAACGCTCCGTTAGCGCTTTGCGTACTTTTCGGTTGGGAGATGGGGAGGTCGCAGTGAGTTGACAATACCGGGCGCTGAGAGACTGCTGGTGTTGTTGTAGTTGTCGAAGTTGAAGACATAGTTGTAAGCGAGGGCACTGTACTGGTCGTTGCTGTTATCAACAATTCAGTGGTAAAACAGTAGGGGTCTGGAGACGGGCACTGGGCTCTCCATGACCCACTTTGCAATGTGCTGGGTGAGTATATTAACGCATGGGAGAGAGAGCGTTCTCTTTCCCAATTAGCTTGCAGTAATGCCGTTGTTGTTGGTATCGTTACATCGGGTGCGCGTATAGAAAAGTACGCGATGTTATGAAGTGACGAAAGTCGACGTTCGTCTTGTTGTTATTGCTTCCGAGTACGATTCTGGCTCACATGAAATGTACAGAAGTATATTAGGTTTGCGGAAGCTGAAAAATGTAACAGGCAGAAGGAGGCCTGGCAGACCCCACAAAGTATATATATTCTTGATCAGCGTGACAAGACGAGTCGATCTAACCCTGCCTGTCTGTCTGTCCGTCCATATGAACACCTGAATCTTAGAGACTATAAGAGATAGAGACACCAAACTTTGCACAAAGATGCCTTATGTGTGTACGCTATACAAGTTTGTTTTAGTTTTTTGATTTCACCACCCACTTCCCCCTATGGGGGTTTTCGCGATTTTTCATTCGTATAATCGCCTATGTCTCGGAGACTACAAGGTGCGTTCCAAAGTAAACTGGCCTTTTTGAATCTAGCGCACCCTGGTGGCGCTATCTATATGTCGACTGGTGCGTTAGAATCTGCTATCCTTATCGATTGTCCAGTGAGAATTTAATGACATTTCATTGATTGGAAGTGAAGTTATTGCGTTTTAAGTGTTAGTATGTTTGTGTTATCGGTGCGAAAATGAGCTTCAAACAAAGAGCCAACATTAAATTTTGTTTTAAAATTGGTAAAACTTTTACCGAAACGTTTCAATTGATGGAACAAGTTTATGGCGATGATTGCCTACACACATTTTCAAAGTGGTCGTGAGGACATAAATGATGATCAAGATGTGGGCCAATCAAAATTCGTGATCACCGAAAATTCCATCGAAACTGTGCGTGAATTAATCAAAAATCAGACGAAATCATAATTGAAATTGATGGAAATTGAATTGAACATCGATTTATCGCATCTTGACCGAACATTTGGGCTTACGAAAGGTGTGTGCACGGTTTGTTCCGCACAAATTGACTGACGACCAAAAATTGCTCAGAATCCGTCTCATCGATCAACGCTTGTGGCGGATTATTTGACCAAAAACCACATTTTAACCATTAACCACTCGCCGTATTCACCTGATATGGAACCGTGCGACTTCTACCTTTTCAGAAAAATGCATTTGGCCATGAAAAGAAAGCGTTATGCAGACGTAGAGGCCATTCAAAAGGCTTGCACCGGCATACTGGCGGCCATACCGACCAACGAGGTAAAACACTCGTTCGACATGCTTTTGGATCGTGCAAAAAGCTGTATTGAGGCAGAAGGAGACTATTTTGAATAAAATAAATTGATTTTGCCGAAAAAACCATTTGTTCTGTTTTTTTTTTAAAGTCCTGTTTGCTTTGGAACACACCTTGTATAAGACCTAGGAACACCAAATTTTAGTCCAAGATGCCTTATGTGAATCCGCAGAAAATGTGTATTTTGGAATTTCCCTCCCTCCCCCCTCTCCCATGCAAATCGTAACTCCCGTAATTCTTGGAATTTCGAACTAAAATACGCCCAGTTAGTTGTTATGTGTCCGTATGCCAAGTTTCACTATGATAGACCGATTGAACAAGAAGTTATAGACATAAATATATTTGCTTCTGCAGCGCTGCCCCCCGTTGTTGATGTTGCTGTTTGGTTGACTGCTAACATGTTTAACATGATTACACAGACACGAATAGATGCCCATAGGCATACATATACTCACACAGACGCAATTGCTAGGTAAATGTGCAATTTACGTGAGTTCGAATACCGAGAGAGGTAAAATCGAAAAAAAAAATTGTTTTTTAAGTAGTATTTCAAAGTCGGGACACCCGACTTTAGCTTTTTTACTTGTTTTTTCTTTGTTGTTTACAGAGCTTATGCTCTTAATCGTTGGCATTACTTTATTTCTTTCACAAAATTTAGTTCGTTTTTATTAGTTCTAATCACAATATATGATAAATTTACATGGGTCACACGAGCATGCATACCCTGAGCGTCTTTTCACGAATTAATTTGGTTAATTTGGCGTTAATCGCAATATATTTTTAACACACGCCAGAGCGAAATAAAAAATATAAAATATTCAACACATGCATACCCCTGTTCACAAAGGATGAAAGGGTATACTAGTTCTGTGCGAATGTATGTAACAGACAGAAGAAGGCGTGGCAGTATAGTATAGTATAGTATAGTATAGTATAGTATAGTATAGTATAGTATAGTATAGTATAGTATAGTATAGTATAGTATAGTATAGTATAGTATAGTATAGTATAGTATAGTATAGTATAGTATAGTATAGTATAGTATAGTATAGTATAGTATAGTATAGTATAGTATAGTATAGTATAGTATAGTATAGTATAGTATAGTATAGTATAGTATAGTATAGTATAGTATAGTATAGTATAGTATAGTATAGTATAGTATAGTATAGTATAGTATAGTATAGTATAGTATAGTATAGTATAGTATAGTATAGTATAGTATAGTATAGTATAGTATAGTATAGTATAGTATAGTATAGTATAGTATAGTATAGTATAGTATAGTATAGTATAGTATAGTATAGTATAGTATAGTATAGTATAGTATAGTATAGTATAGTATAGTATAGTATAGTATAGTATAGTATAGTATAGTATAGTATAGTATAGTATAGTATAGTATAGTATAGTATAGTATAGTATAGTATAGTATAGTATAGTATAGTATAGTATAGTATAGTATAGTATAGTATAGTATAGTATAGTATAGTATAGTATAGTATAGTATAGTATAGTATAGTATAGTATAGTATAGTATAGTATAGTATAGTATAGTATAGTATAGTATAGTATAGTATAGTATAGTATAGTATAGTATAGTATAGTATAGTATAGTATAGTATAGTATAGTATAGTATAGTATAGTATAGTATAGTATAGTATAGTATAGTATAGTATAGTATAGTATAGTATAGTATAGTATAGTATAGTATAGTATAGTATAGTATAGTATAGTATAGTATAGTATAGTATAGTATAGTATAGTATAGTATAGTATAGTATAGTATAGTATAGTATAGTATAGTCTCGTCTCGTCTCGTCTCGTCTCGTCTCGTCTCGTCTCGTCTCGTCTCGTCTCGTCTCGTCTCGTCTCGTCTCGTCTCGTCTCGTCTCGTCTCGTCTCGTCTCGTCTCGTCTCGTCTCGTCTCGTCTCGTCTCGTCTCGTCTCGTCTCGTCTCGTCTCGTCTCGTCTCGTCTCGTCTCGTCTCGTCTCGTCTCGTCTCGTCTCGTCTCGTCTCGTCTCGTCTCGTCTCGTCTCGTCTCGTCTCGTCTCGTCTCGTCTCGTCTCGTCTCGTCTCGTCTCGTCTCGTCTCGTCTCGTCTCGTCTCGTCTCGTCTCGTCTCGTCTCGTCTCGTCTCGTCTCGTCTCGTCTCGTCTCGTCTCGTCTCGTCTCGTCTCGTCTCGTCTCGTCTCGTCTCGTCTCGTCTCGTCTCGTCTCGTACTCGTCTCGTCTCGTCTCGTCTCGTCTCGTCTCGTCTCGTCTCGTCTCGTCGTCTCGTCTCGTCTCGTCTCGTCTCGTCTCGTGATAGTATATAGTATAGTATAGTATTAGTATAGATAGTATAGTATAGTATAGTATAGTATAGTTATAGTATCAGTTATAGTATAGTATAGTATCGTATAGTTAGTAATAGTATTAGTATAGTAATAGTATAGTTATAGTATAGTCTAGTATAGTTAGTACTAGTATATGTATCGTATAGTATATATAGTATAGTATAGTATAGTATAGTATAGTATAATATAGTATAGTATAGTATAGTATAGTATAGTATAGTATAGTGGTTATTCTAGCTACATGTCTACAGCTTCAACAGCATACAAATACATCAGAATCGCGTCTCTGCGTGTTAATATGCGTGTATGTATGCAGCACAAATTTGAACCAAAGCAGCAATAACAACAACAGCTGCGGGAAGCGCTGCGGGCAGAGATTCAAGCACCTTCTGAGATCCCTGCGCTCATACAGACGGACGGACGGACGGACGGACGGACAGACGGACATGGCTATATCGACTCGGCTTGTCATACTGATATATACTTTGTGGGGTCTGCCACGCCTCCTTCTGCCTGTTACATACATTCGTACAAAACTATTATACCGTTTAACCCTTTGGGTACAGGGTATAAAAATGTCTAGGTAAAGACTTATAGAATTACACTAATATATCAGGAAATATTGGTTTATGATTGTCAATAATGTACACTTTTGTATTCGCCAAGCTTACCTGCGAGTGCAGTTTCCAATCTTTGTAGGCCTTAACGATGTAATCCATTTTTGGTTTTAAATGCGTTTTTTCCTCAGTCTATATGCAAAAATATCCAACAGTTGCCCCTTTAGAATAGATAAAATCTGCACGTTTCATTGGAAAGAAAAAAACATAATTCACTCCAAGCGTGTTTTAATAAACCAACGGTGGTTATTTTCAAGTTAGGTAAAAAGTCTTCTTAAAAGGATTTAATAATTTGCGCCTCATTACACCCTCATTTATACCTTCATAATACCCGCAATGTACTATATAAAGCAGCGGTGGGCACGAAATTTTAGTTTGGGAGTCCTACAACAACATCTACAACAAAAACTACCCTTTGGGTTATGAGAACATCATAAACTGCGAGCAAAAATTAGGGAAAAAAAGTACGCCGAAAAAAATGTTGATCACATTTATGAACATTTATTTAATAATTTTTCGAAGTCTATTTCCTCTTCACTTAAAGCAATTCGTAATAAATCTGATAAATTTATGTCACTTAATTTATTCCTATAAACATTTTTAATATATTAAATGTTTGAAAATGCAGCTTCGCACACATAAGTGCTGGCAAAACTTGCTTCTAATTGAAGCATTGGATACTGTTTGCCACACACTTTTTTCAAAATTCACTTCCAAATTCCTTCACTGAAAGTATTTGGTAGTCGGATTGTAAGTCACATAGCTCCATTTGATATTTTGAGTCTTGTTCTTTTATATTTATATCTTTTGGACTCAAATATATTTTTATCAACTTTTTAGCTTCATCGAAATCGTTGAATCGTTTTTCAAATACCGCGTCTCAATCTCGGAAATATTAATTTCATTAGCCATTGTTCAGTTTTAAATCAAATATAAGTAAGATTATAAGTAAATAACTTGACGAAAATCATAAAAGTTTTACTGAAACACTATAATTTATAATTTGTCAATACACTTTGAATGTCAGTGCATAAGTGACCGTCAGCGGGTATTGCAAATCGATCATCAGTACACACACTGTGTGTATTTTGTTATTGCATCGATCTACTTGTGCGTCTGGCTGGCGACAACACTGCGTGTATTTTGTTATTGTAAGTTTGCTCGAGATCGGTACTTTGCTTGTGCGTCTGGCTGTCGCCAGTTACCAAAACATAACGGAAAGAGCCCTGGGAGCCCAAAGAGCCATTACGTGCCCATCGCTGATATAAAGTATACTAGAAAGTCTAAGCGTGGCACATCTCAGGCTTACGAGTATCAATATAGACATGTCCGCCTGTCACTGCCTTCATCTGTCTAAGAGTCATATACATATATTAGACTAACTTTGATGGCTATTAAGATATTTTACCGAAATTTAGTAATCTGAAATTGCATCTTAATCGGTGCACTAAGTATCATAGCTGCAATTGGGCCTATTAATGCAGCAAATTTATTTTTTTTGAAGGACTGGCCTGCTAACAGGTTAGAATCTTATTTTTTACTTTGTTATAAAGTTTTTATGGACTGACGCGACTTGGAAAGCTTATTATGAATGAGATGAATATATATGTATAGTTTTATTTGAGTAGTAGTAGATAATAACGGTAGCTTTTGTGGTTTAATCCTGATCTCTGGAACTCATATTCCTTTATTTCCACATTAAATAACACATAAGATTTTAACATCGCGCAGAATGTCGATTTACATTTTAATATCTCGTTGGATTTAAAAAAAGTAAGATATCGAAATCGATTTCTGCGCCACAAAGTTTGCTAACTCGTCGAGCGCTTAAATATTTGCTAGTAAAGAATGCTCTTATATCCAAATGTTGATAACCAGCAAAGCGTTGTAGGATATACTACCTAAGTGCAAATATTTCCTGGTATTTTGATGGCTTGAACCAAATTACTCCCTTAGCACAACATGACTTCTCTATTTCGAATGAATTAAATAATAGCTTAAATTTAAAGCAATCTCAAATCTCAATGTTACTTTGAGTATCTTGAACACTGTACTTGTAAAGCTTTATTTGTCCAAGTTCCTAAGCAGCTTTACAATTTTGTAAGCTGAAAACGTAAATCGTCAGCTTTACCTTCTTCTTTTTTCTTCAAAATATAAATTTCGCAATGAATCGGATATTTTTCACTTATCCTCCCTATAATCGCAATTCGTGCACCTTTAGGATTCCCTCTTTAAATTCTATATCTTCGCCCATAATAAGCAGATGCTGCATTCTTTCTAGCATTAGGTCTGCAAAATCTCCATGCTCTCCTGACCCAGGGGGTAGACAACAACCTAATTGCAAAGCTCTTAAATTTGTCTCTTGATAATGTATTTTTTCCAAATATTTGGAAAAATTCCTTCATTATTCCGCTCCTCAAAAAGAGAGGTAAATTATTTGTCGTCTCTAAATTATTGGATACAATACCCTGTACTTATTCCCACAAAATAGGTATTTAAAGAAAAAAAAATTTTTTTTTAAATAATTAAAAAAAAATTAAATTAATAAATTAAATTAAATCAAAAATATTAAATGCATACATAAATAGAGACATATTTACAGTTTACAACAACATACATTTACATCAGAATCATGTCTATGCATGTTTATATGCGTGTATGTAAGCATTAAGCGCAACAACAAAATCTGTGGGCAGAGCTTGGGCAGAGATTATATTTATGGCTATAACTTTCTTTCAAATTGACACAAACTCGTCCTTTCTCGGACTTAGGAGAATCTAGATACCAAATTTTATTCTAGCTCTTATACATTCTAAGATCCTTACAGACGGACGGACAGGCGGGCGGACTGAATGACATGGTTATATCGACTCGTCTTGTCATCCTGATCAAGAATATATATACTTTGTGGGGTCTGCCACGCCTCCATCTCTGTGTTACATACATTCGCACAAAACTTTTACCCTTAATTTTAATTTTTTTTTTACTGTCGGGCTTGCTCGATTGTAGCGTTCTCTCTTGTTTTTTTTTTTTAATTTTCCTTTTTTGTGGAGAGTACAGGCTATTTTCCTCGACTGTAGCGTTCTCTCTCGTTTGTTTCAAGTTGTAGGTGATAACCATAATTAGTGCATAATGGTCTGACTTTCGAAAACCCTCCGGAGCTTATGGAAAGTGCTTTTATCTTTGAATATTTTCCGGAAATCGCGATTTATTGTTAAGGTGATTTGTGGGGCAAATCCAAAAACATGGGAAGATCATATACTCGTAGTAAAGTTTGATGATTTGAAAAAACGTATGTTCTTTGTTGTTATTAGGACTATCAGATGTACCAACCAAAAGGTCTGTATATGTGTACATTGTTCGCGTTTCCGCGAAAAAAGTTTTCATTTGGGTTCAATGTGCAGTGGCTAAGTTAGTAAGCGTTTGGGTTTAAATGTACGTAGTATGTGCTTACATACTATAAACATCCATCAACTAAAAATTCGTTATCGCCTTGCGCGTGTGTTTATGTACATACATACATATGAGTAACGAAAACTTTATCTCTGCTGTTAAGAAAATATATGGAGCCTTTTGATATGACTTGACGTGAATGTATAGAAAATGTACAGGTTTCCGATGTTATTTTGCTCATAGTAACAAAATTAAAAGCAACGAAGGCGTGTTTTTGTGATCTTTTGCTGTTGACTAATTTTTCTTTATTTTAATTTTTGGTTGTTTGCAAAAATGTTCCGTTTTCTTTGTTAATGTTGTTGTTTCTGCAGCTATATATATATATATATATATTTTTTTTTTAAGAATGATTTTTTTTGATAACATACACAATGATAACTTTTACTTATTTATGTATACATCTTTAGTAGTTGTATCGAACTCTGCTAATATACACACATGCCTACATCAATGCGTCAACATGTTGTTAGAAAATCGTTGAAGGTTATGCCGGGAAATCCGATTAAATGCAGCTGGTAATTGAAGCAACGCAAACTTTTTGTATAATTTCTATTTGTCGGACCGATTACACAAACGCACCGTTCACGAGGTTATGACAACGAGAAACAAATAGCTAAGATGTGGCCCAGATATTAAAGCGCGTTCTTACAACCGATCCAACGACTTGACAACCAACTTTAAGCAGAACTCGATAGCTACTAACTGACTTGTCGACAAGCTTCACTGGAACGGCGCTGGCTGGCTGGTTTGACTAAGTTTGTGAGCGCACAGCTGGCTCTTTGTCTTCAGTGTCCACTCTGCTCACTTTGTTACGTTCTTTTATCAAGCGTATAGTGAGCAAGTTCATATTTAAAGAATTAAATTCTCCATGGTATAATGAACTACTTGTTAATAGTATGGCAAGACACAGGGCCATTTTCTATGTTCTCTTTCGTGACGTCACGACGCGTCGTCAGTAATAGCTGCTGTAACCAGCAGTTTTTAAATGGGACTTCTCCCAATTGGGTTTCTGCAAATAACGTGAGTTAGAAATTCCAAAATTTCCAGCTTTAGTATGGGAAGAATAATCTACTGCAAATTAAGTCTACAAATTAATTGACAACGTACAATGACTTATAGCTCAGATAAAAATGTATACTTAGAATATAAAATATAAAATAAGAAAGGAATGCTAGAATCGAGCGGGCTCAACTCTTAAATACCCTGTAAATGTTAATTAAATGTATTAACTTAATTAAGTAAAAAATATTCAATACATACATGCATAAGTGGAGACAGGCTATAAAGTTAAAAATTAAATTTCCTTAATGAATTTAGTTTCGTTTATTAATTTTGATTTTTGAGGTATAGCTGCTTTGCCAACAGCTATAGCTGATTACATTTATATATAACTATAACTTTTTTAACAAGAAATGAATGCTAGAGTCGGGTAAGCTCAAATCTTAAACACCCTGTACCCACCCCACAAAAGAAAAAGTTAAGAGAATTACTGAATTAATTAATTAAGTTAAATACTTATGCACTTGTATATACGAAGTACATAATTATGTTACAGCAGCAACACCAACAACAGCTGCGGACAGAGCTTGGGCAGACATTACATTTATGGCAACTTTCTTTCTTAATAATTGACCTATAATGATGAAACTTAATATAAAGACACATAAGCAGTAACTGGATGAATGGTGCTCGTGAATGGTGCGTTTGTGTAATCGCTCCAACAAATAGAAATTATACAAAAAGTTTGCGTTGCTTCAATTATCAGCTGCATTTTCAAAATAATTGAATATGAGTTTATTTAATTTTTTTGATTCCCCCCCCTCCCCTCTCTCCCACGCTACAGAATTTCGTTAATTCCGTCGACTTTTCGAAAGCTACATAAATGCTGCGCACGTAATTTATATACAATCATCTATCTATTATTAAATATCAATCAAATCGGAAAATTTTTAGAAAAGTTATTAGACAAAAAAATTTTACTCTAGTACTTACTACGCCCACAAGGTACAGCATCAAGTTACCTCATCTTCTTCTCTTTTTTTTCTTCTGCAATGGGCGTATATAATTCAGTGCTTGAAGTTTGTCTGGGTACAGGGTATTTCACTGTCGGGATTACTCGACTGAAGCATTTTCTATCACGGCTCAAAATGGCCATTAACATCAACAATCATGTTAAAAGCAAAACAATTAGTGTTTTTTTGATTCGCTTTAAAGTTCGATTACAACGTGGATTTTACTTTTTCCGATATTAACATAGTATTGTATTCATCTAAGATGCTTACGTTAATTATCTGCAATAAATGCGTGTTCCGAGTCCTTGTTGCTGCTACAAATGTCAACAATTTCTGCATGTCCAAACAGTAGTTTTGCTGCAACAAACGCAATTTTACAGAAATCGTGCAAATTGGGACGAAGTTTTTTAGTAATTCAATTATAAACATACATACTTATAATAGTTAATATGTGTTTCACACAATCAGGTAACTTTGACTGCGCGCCAAGAAAATGGTGTCGTCATATAAGAAGGAATTAATTTAATTTTCGCTTAAATAAACAATTAATAATAAAATAAAAATAAAATTTTTTATATTTGGAAAAAAAAGTTATTTGGACTTTCTGTCAAAAAAAAAAAAAAAAAACGGGCAAAAAACCATAGTGCAATGTAGATTACTAGCCTTTCTTTTCAGTTGATTTCTCATCGCTTCGATATGTTTACGCTAAGTAAGCCGTCTATCCAAATGGACAAAGAATGTTACTTCGTTTTTTTGTGGTACCCAAAGGGTGAAAGGTTATACTAGTTTTGTGCGCATGTATGTAACACACAGAAGGAGGCGTGGCAGACCGCACAAAGTATATATATTCTTGATCAGAATGACAAGACGAGTCGATATAGCCATGTCCGTCTGTCCGTCTGTCTGTATGAGCGCAAGGATCTCAGTAAGTACAAGAGCTAGGATAACCAAAATTGGTATCAAGGTTCCTATAAGCCCTAGGCAGAACGAGTTTGTTTATTTTTTCTGATACACCCCCCCACTCCCCCGCAATTCGCAATTTTTTCTTATAACTTCCGTAATTCTCGGAATTTAAAAATCAATTTTGGTAGGTACATCCAGTTAGTACTAATGTGTCCGTGTGTCAAATTTCATCATGATAGGTCAATTCTGAAGAAAGTTATAGCCATAAGTAAAATCGCTGCTCATGCGCTGCCTGCAGCTCTGTCGGCAGCGCTGCCCGCATTTTTCCTTTTCGTGGAGAGTACAGGCTATTTTACTGTCGGGCTTGCTCGACTGTAGCTTCTATCTTGTTTTTATACTCTGTACATGAAATGTACAGAAGTATATTAGGTTTGCGGGAGCTGAAAAATGTAACAGGCAGAAGGAGGCGTGGCAGACCCCACAAAGTATATACATTCTTGATCAGCATGACGAGACGAGTCGATCTAGCCCTGTCTGTCTGTCTGTCCGTCCGTATGAACACCTGGATCTCAGAGACTATAAGAGATAGAGACACCAAATTTTGCACAAAGATGCGTTATGTGTGTATTCTATACGAGTTTGTTTTATTTTTTTGATTTTCCCCCCCACTTCCCCCTATGGGGGTTTTCCCGATTTTCCATTCGTATAATCGCCTATATCTCGGAGACTATAAGAGCTAGGCACACCAAATTTTAGTCCAAGGTGCCTTGTGTGAATACGCAGAAAATGTATATTTTGGAATTTCCCTCCCTCCCCCCTCTACCCAGCAAATCGTAACTCCCGTAATTCTTGGAATTTCGAACTAAAATTTTGGAAATACCCCCAGTTGGTTATTATGTGCCAAGTTTCACTATGATAGACCGATTTAGCGAGAAGTTATAGCCATAAATATATTTGCTGCTGTAGCGCTGCTCAAGCGCTGCCAAAACGTTGCCCGCGGCTGTTGTTGATGTTGCTGTTTGGTTGACTGCTAACATGTTTACAAAGACACGAATAGATGCGCATAGGCATTCATACACTCACACAGACGCAATTGCTATGTAAATGTGCAATTATAAACCCTTTACGTGAGTTCGAATACCGGGAGAGGTAAAACCGATCAAATTTTTTTTTTATTTTCTTAATTTTTTTATTTTCTATAATTATTGTAAACATATGTACAGAGTATTTCAAAGTCGGGACACCCGATTTTAGCTTTTTTACTTGTTAGTGTATATAAATGTGTGTTAGAATTGTTTGAAGTCGGTTTTTTTGTTAAAACTGTTGTTTATTTTTTGATTATTAGCGCATCTGATGTACACTCACTAATGTGTCTGAATATCTTTTGCCTCAGGTTCTTTGGCACTCAGTTATATGCGGTAATGGCAGAAGAAGAACAGCGAACTTGGTGCTGCAGTTTGTGGGTGTGATGAAATTCTGTAGCGAAATTGTGTCGTTCCTCGGACCTAGGAGAATCTGGATACCAACTTGGATTATTCCAGCTTTGAGGTCGTAGCGTTCATCCAGACGGACGGACGGACAGTCATGTCTAGATCGATTTCTCTCGTCATGATGATCAATAATATACATATATACTTTTTCGGGTCGGATATGCTTCCTTCTACTCTGCACAAGCCTAATATACCCACATGCATACATGCAGCAGGCCAACGCATGGAAGGCATATAAATAGGACCGCGACAGCGGTTAAGGGGACAGACAAAGAAAGGCTCAGAAATATACATATTCAGGGGAAAATCACTTGAGATCGTCAGGATAAAATAAGACAAACAATATACATATGTATGTACATTTAGAATAAGTACGATGCTTAGAGTATAAGAAAGGGCAATATTGAATACTGTTAGTACATAAGGAACAAGTAAAAAAGCTAAAGTCGGGTGTTGCGACTTTGAAATACTCTGTACATATGTTTGCAATAATTATAGAAAATAAAAAAAATTAAGAAAATTTAAAAAAAATTTTTTGATTGATTTTACCTTTCACGGTATTGTCACGGAAATGGTGTTTAATTTCACATTTACATAGCAATTGCGTCTGTGTGAGTGTATGAATGCCTATGCGCATCTATTCGTGTCTTTGTAAACATGTTAGCAGTCAACCAAACAGCAACATCAACAACAGCCGCGGGCAACGTTTTGGCAGCGCTTGAGCAGCGCTACAGCAGCAAATATATTTATGGCTATAACTTCTCTCTAAATCGGTCTATCATAGTGAAACCTGTCATACATAATAACTAACTGGGGATATTTGCAAAATTTTAGTTCGAAATTCCAAGAATTACGGAACCCCTTTGGGGGTTTCCCGATTTTCCATTCGTATAATCGTCTATTTGTCCCAGATGCCTTATGTGAATACGCAGAAAATGTGTATTTTGGAATTTCTCTCCCTTCCCCCTCTCCCGATTTTCTCTAACTCCCGTAATTCTTGAAATTTTAAACGCAAATTTTGTAAATGCCTTAAGTTGGTTATTATGTGTCCGTATGCCAAGTTTCATCATGATAGACCGATTTAACAAGAAGTTATAGCCATAAATATATTTGCTGCTGCAGCGCTGCAAATGCCTTAAGTTGGTTATTATGTGTCCGTATGCCAAGGTTCATCATGATAGACCGATTTAACAAGAAGTTATAGCCATAAATATATTTACTGCTGCAGCGCTGCTCAAGCGCTGCTCGCGGCTGTTGTTGATGTTGC